TGGCCACCGCGCTGCTCCCGCCTCCACAGGCGGGTGCACATTCTGTTCCAGGAGCTGAGGAAGGAGGAGGACCCAACAATGGAGATTTCAGGAGTGGTGATGTCCCAGGGTCTGGTGCAGTTTTTATGGATGAAGACATTGAGTTGGAGCAGGAGCTGGGACAAACCCTTGAATGTAAAGGGGTGCGGCGTTCTGACATCCCAGAGATTTGTAAGGCTTTCAAGGGTAAGATGCCATCGAGGAAGACTTGTCGGTCGTCCCGTTCGCCCCGCAGGTCAGAGCAGACAGCGAGATCATCTGCTGCTGTCAGTGCGGCAGCTGAGACAGCTGGAGTGCATGCGAGGGGTGACATGGACACGGCTCCAGGAACCCACCTGCAATATCCCGATCAAGATTGGGGGCCCGACCCCCAAGAGGTCGGGCCCCAAGTCCAGAAGCCTCATGTTTCAGACTTTCAATGGGTCTTGCTGGACCACATGTAAAGAAGCCGTTCAGGAATCCAAAGCAGATGTCATTTTCCTCAGAGAGACCGAGCTCATGGGGGCCCCGCTTTCATCTGTTAAAGCCTCCAATCTCAAGCATGGTTGGAAAACCTATTCATCGGCCGCGGTGATAAATTACAATGGCAATGTGGCTGGAAGGGGTCATGGTCACTGTCAAAAAAGAATTTGGATCCCTGGGCCCACCGAGAAGATTTTCATCCAGGTCGTCTTGCAGGATGTCTCTTGAGGACGGCGTATCTGGGGGCCATCCAGCTGTTCTCGGCTTGCCTCCAGGACTCAGCGGGCATGAATAATTTAATCACAAGTATTTCGAGCAGGATCTGGGACCAAACTTCCAGGATTGGAACGCCCTTCGTCGTCGGCGGGGACTTCAACATGCCAGGTGATGTTGTTGGCAAGTATCCCCCGATAAGTTCTCAGGATCCCAGATGCCCCAACTCTCATCAATGGTGACAAGAAGAGCACCATTGAATATTTCATCTGCAGCAGGTCTCTCGACGCTGTCTCGCCGCAGTTGTATGTCAACAAGGATTCGCGCGAGCGGCCGCGCTTGCCAGTATTCCTTAAGTTCAACAGGGCTGTAGATGATATCATTGTCAAAGTATTGAAACCATATCAATATATACCAGTACAACTACCTGTTTGACCTCCCCCTCCACCTCCAGATTACCAGGACCTGATAAATGACTTACAGAGCATCATAGAGAGGAGGAACCAAGGCAACAACACAACAGTCATGGCAGAGGAACAAGAACAGGAACACTTACAACGGAAACTAAATATATACTATGGGAAATGGGTTAAGCTAGCCTGGGGCGAGCTGCTAGGTGCTACTCATCTCCAGCCCAAAGGCAGACCTGGTGGACAGCCACCAGAATTTGATGCAGTTCCTTTACGAGCACTCTTGGCCACGAAATCACACCGAAGTGTTTTCCCAGGGAGGGTCTTGTTATGGGGCAACAATCGGGTCACATAGCTACATGCTATCCTTGGGGAAAAAGCTGACTTGGGAGCATGCGCGGCCAAGCTTTTCATCCAGTTCCTGGACCTGCCGAAGAAGGGGCCCCGTTCAGAAAGCATTGGAAAGATGGCTGTGATTTCTGGCGCAATTTCCTAGCGAGTTTGGCAGCAGCTGCGCTTGCGGCTGCACCTGGACACTCGCGAGTGCAAGTGCTGGAGCAAGCGCTCCTTTTTATTGCAGAGTGCGTTCGTCTTGGCCAGCTCCAGGACAGACGACAGCAGCGCCAACGATGGCAGGACTGGTGCGAGGAGGCAGGGAACGAACGCGCAAAGAAAGCTTTTTCATATCTGAGGGGGTCGGACTACAGGCATGAGGATATTGTGATGGGGGGAGAAGGTTGTTCCAGCGCCATCCCTGAGCGCATGCACCAGCAAGAGAAGGACTGGAAGGCGGCGCGGGCCGCCCAGGATACCCGTGCGCCACGACTTTCCAGGGCAGGTTTCGCCCCGCTGGAGGCCCCTCCCCCACCGGATCCTGAAGCCATCGAGAAGGTCTCCAAGAGGTTCAAAAGCCAGACGTGCACGCCTGATGGGTTGCACCCGAAGCATTGTGCGTTGTTATGCGATGATGCCCGTCTGGTTCTGTCCCCGCTGTTCCATTTCATGGATATTTTGGGAGCTGCTCCTGGCCAGGTCCAACGCATTGCCATTTTATTACTTCAGAAACCTTCCTCAGGCCGGCGCCCGCTAGGGCGCTACCCTGCGACGCCGCGGCTGCGCGCCAAGTTTCACAGACAGCCGTGCCGAGCTTGGGGGCGAGCTCATGGCATGGGCCCGCAGTTCTCGATGGCGCAAGGACGAGGACCTCAGGACATAGCCTGGCGGAATGCAGTTCGTGCTGAATGGTGTTCAGGGGAAGACGTCCACTACCTGTGTGTACTATGGGACCTAGTACAGATCTACGAACGAATATCACGCAGTAAAATGATTGACATGGCCTCCGTGACGGGCTTCCCCCTGTATGTCATCTTCTACGCGCTGAACGCATGCAGATGGCCTCGTGCACTATACATGGACGGGGCCTACGGGCCCGCTCTAAACCCGTATCGTGGGGTTATTGCTGGGTCAACTACTGCTACATATGAAGTAAAGAGGTACCTCATGCCTACCATTACATCTTCGAAGCTAGAACCCGATAGCTCAGGAATAGGTCTACACATCGACGACTGACAGCTGCACACCTGGTCGGAGTCCAAGAACCTGTGCATCAATATCATGAAGATGCTGACCGTTTCTTTGTCGGCGGTGCTCCAGACCAACCTAGACTGCTCGCTCTCGGCTGAGAAGATTACCGTAACCAGCAACAATATTAAGTTCACTCAGGAAGCTCAATTGGTCCTCGGGAACTTGGCAGGGGCCCCTGAAAATGCCCCTCCGAATCTTGGAATATATTAGGTTGCTGGAAAACCCCTTTCCAAAGTCCGTCATCTGAGCAAGCGAGCCTCTAGATGGAAGAAATTTAAGGCTAGGGCTGACAGGTTGCGCAGATTTAAAGCAACCAGAAGATTAAAACCACGTCTGTTTAAAGCTTCTGTCCAGTCTGTTATAGCATGCGGTTCGCAAGTTCAGGGCTTCTCCCCATCAGAGATCCTGACCTTACGCAAACAAGCTGCCAGTTGCATGGGGGTCAAGCTTTCTGGGGCCCCCATGGAGTTATCCTGGGCACTTTCGTCTAGAGGCCAAGAGGGCCACATGTTTTTGGCAGCAGGTACAATAGAACGATGCGCAATGGAGTGGTGGGGGGCCACGCAGCCAAGTCTGGCTGGCACCGCCCACTCTGGTTTAATCCTTTTAAGTGCCCCGTCCCATGCCTTCAGGTCTGCGCGTGAGTGGATACTCACATCAAAAAGCAAGGCTTGGCAAGAAAGGGCTAGAGGCCCTGTTTCAGATGCCCTCCTTTGGCTAGAACTCGCAGAGTGGGCAGCGGACGAGCCCGCGGTGTGGTACACTAGGGCAGGGGGGAAGATCGTGCTAACTGAAGTACCCCCTGCCATGCTTAGAACATGGTTCGTCAGGGATTTAACTCAGCAGAAGTTTAAATCAATGGTTGACAAGAAGCTCCAATATTTTGATCATCCCCTCGCGCTGGAGATCAAGGCCGCAGGGCTCTGGACCGAAGCAGCGAGGAAAGCATATTTAAGCAGGGGCCTCCAGGCAGAGCGCGGGCACCTCTTTAAGCAAGTCCTTTCTGATAGTGTGCCAACTGCTGCGAACCTGGAGAAGTGGGGGTGCCAAGTTCCCACGCCCTGCCCCACGCGTGGGGATCTTGACACAATGTTCCACAGGATTTGGCAGTGCCCATTTGGAGCCTGTCCAGACTTAACCGATGAAGCAATATCGGCAGGCCCAACCAACCCGCTGTATGCTCGTCTCTTCCAGCCCAAGCCAGATCTGTCTGAGGTTGCTCCTGGCTGGGACTTGAGGTTTGTGGGGGCAGACGGTTTACCTTCCGACCCGTTCTGGTTTTAGGCTGAAGCTAGGATTTATACAGACGGGAGCTGCACAGACCCAAGGGATTTGTTTTTTTGGCCAGGGCAGGGCTAGCTGCAGTTCAGGTAAATGAAGATGGCCACCTTGTGAAGGCCATCTACTCCCCTCTTCCTGCCGAGTTCCCCCGGACCTCCGCAGATGCCGAACATGCAGCTGTCGCCCTCGCCATCCTAAGGTCTGAGGCCCCAGAGACGATCCAGATTATGAATGACTGCAGTGCCCTAGGTCTCATGCAAGCGTGGCCGACGAGGGCGTTGTCTGGCAATAGTCGCTTCTCGAGCGACTGGCGACCAGCCGCTACTGCGCTGCAGGAAAAGGAATGGCCCACTCTGGTCAAAATAAAGGCACATCGTAGAGAGAGTGAGGCAAGGAATGAGCAAGACTTGACCCACATACGTGGAAACAAGCTTGCTGACTATTTTGCAGGTCTGGGAGCCCGTGCCCACGGTTTTTCCCCGGATCATCTGGAGTTATATGATAAAGGTTTTCTGGAATATAAAAACCTTGTGGTAGGAACTTGCGCCATTCTCAAGGAGTGGCCCTCTCTTGTAGATGCTTTCGGCCCCCTAGCAAGACATCCACGTCAAAGAATAGTGCAGGATGCAGGTCCCGAGCACATGCCAACATGGGATGGCACGAAATTTAGGTGTGCCAACTGCCTACGTAGCTGCTCAGACAAGAGCAGGTTCCCATGCGTCTCGTTGCCGCCGACCCTTGCCCGCCTCCTCAAGGAGGGAGGGGGCCCAGGGCGCTCCATCCATGCCGCTAGGATTGTGTCCTCGGGGTTGCCCATTATGTTCTGTGTGCTGTGCGGGAAGTTCTCCTCTCAGAAGGCCCCGTCTCTGTTTGCGCCGTGCTCGAGGCCAACCAAGAGCAGTGAGAGGTCCAAGCTCCTGAGAGGAATAATCCCAGGCACTTTCCTGAGGCTGGGCCCTTCCTTTCCCCTCGCCCCTTTCCTGCCCCCCCTCTCCCCCTCCCCACCCGCAGGGTCCCAGTCTTCAGGTGGAAGGGCGCGGGCCTGAACTGGGGTTACGTGTTCTACATGCTGAGCCACTGGTTCATCATGTTCAACTCGTTCAGGCCCGCGCCCTTGCACTTTTGTTTCTTGTTTTATGGTCTTAGTGTGCAGTGCCTCGGCGCATGCGGATCATTCTCTTGTCTTTGATGTCTTTGATGATGAGGAGGAGGAGGGGGGGGGGAGGGGGGGGGAGGGGGGGGGAGGGGGGGGGAGGGGGGGGGGGGGGGGAGGGGGGGGAGGGGGGGGAGCAGGTCGCGGCGCTCATGCTGAGCGGCAAGAGCAGCAGGCTCGGGGAGCCGAGCCCCGCACCCCGGGTGTGCAGGGGGTGCACTTTCTGGCCGCCTCACGCAGAGCGCGTCGTGCTGGCCACCGCCCCCTGCGCTCGTCGTTCGTCCGCCGTCCGTCGTTATCGTCGTCGTGTCGTGTCGTCCCCTTTTCTCGAGGTTTTGCTCCGCCAGCCTCCCCGCATCCTCATCCTCCTGTTCCTCCTTCTCCTCCTTCGCCTCGTCCGCCTCCCTTGGTTTCCCCTCTCCCTCGCCCCGCTGGGCCAATCTGCCGCCGTTGCTCACTGCTGAGACAACTGCGGACGCAAGTGTCGGTCAATGTCGGTCAAGCGGTTGATTCGCTTTTCCAGGTGTTGAAACACCGCGGTCTGCCACTGGGCTCCCGCCCGCTGGTGAATATCGTTGGCCGCCGCCCCCGAGTGTCAGCGGTGGCATGGAGGGTGACGGCGAGGCCAGGGCGATCTGTTGAGGGCGGCGGCACCGACGACGAGCAAGTCGACGACGCCAAGCAGCCATTGGTCTTCACCAGCCAGCCGGACCACGACCTCGGAACGACGGTGGCGAAGAGCACGTCGTGCGCCATGGAGCGGCAAGCCATGGATGTCCGCTGCGCGAATGGGTGCCGCGAGTGAAACCGCAAGTTTCAGTTCGACCAGGTGTAATAAGACAAGTTTTTCGGCCAGTGCTCATCATTTTGGGACCACGGCGGGAATGCGACGGCCATTCGCCCAGATTGCGTGGGGAAAGAAAGGACGTCTCAGACCATGCATTTAAGAGGGCGACACTATGTGTCCTTGCTGTCTTCGCGAGGCCATCGTTTTGTGCGATCGAGACAAGGCGTCTACGGGGTGGTTAAGACGGAAGGGCCTTCAGTATGATGAGAGGAGAGGATGATCATATGATGATAACAGCGATGAGAGGTTATGAGAACATGACAGGTGCAGTTCGTGAGGTGGCAGAGCTAGGTTGCCCAGAGAAGTGGTCATCGAGCACCGCCTCAACGACACTTCTCTTGCATAAGGTGCGAGGTAGGAGCCCAGAGCAAACTCGCCCGAACCAGCCGAGACACAGCTGGGGCGCCTTTGGAATGCTAGTCCCCATCTTGATTCGTGTCTCTGGCGGGGGCACTGCTTTCGCAAGTTTCCAGTATGCTGCCAGAGACCCGGTGCCAGCCGGCCGCGCCTAGCGGTTCTGCAGTGTCTTCGGCGGGCCGGGTCGGCTCGGCCTTGGTCGCCCTCCAATCTTGCAGTGCCTCTGTGCGCGGGCGGTCCGTACCCCCAGGGCGAAGGGCTGCGACCGTGCATGTTCACCGATGGACCCGAGTGCATTGATCGAATCGATTGGTTTTCGATCCTCGGCGTCGTGCTGGACGCTCCCGCATTCGTGGTACCGAGGCCCTCAAGGACTTCGAGAAGACAGCAAATGGGGTCCGACCGCCAGTGGCGGCCCCGTGGCAATGGGATGCTGGGATGCTGCTCTGGCAATTGATGGGCAAGGGGGTGGCACATCACGTGTGGTAGGGGGTGAGGAGGGGGATGAGGAGAGAGTATGCAAGAGGGGCGGCAAATTAGGGGGGTGAGCGAGGGAGAGGGAGAATGAAAGGGGGGAATGAGGGATGAAGGGCCGAGGAGAGTACGTAGGGGGGGTCTGGAACACTGAAGTCGGGACACTGATTTGACGAATGCAGGGGCAGCCGTGGGGGTGCAGCTCTCCTATCTCATCCCTGTCCCAGTTTACCTCCTCCATCCTCCACCTTGTCCTGCTTCTACCCCTCCTCCTCCTCCTCCTCCTCCTCCTCCTCCCTCCCCCCCTCCCTCCCTCCACCTTGTCCTGCTTCTACCCCTCCCCCTCCTCCACCTTGTCCTGCTTCTACCTCTCCTCCTCCTCCCTCCCTCCCTCCCTGCCTCCACCTTGTCCTGCTTCTACCCCTCCTCCTCCTCCACCTTGTCCTGCTTCTACCCCTCCTCCTCCTCCTCCTCCTCCTCCTCCTCCTCCTCCTCCCTCCTCCTCCTCCTCCTCCTCCTCCTCCTCCTCCTCCTCCCTCCCTCCCTCCCTCCCTCCCTCCCTCCCTCCCTCCCTCCCTCCCTCCCTCCCTCCACTTCTGGCCGTTTACAGGAGGGGGAGGGAGGGGGTGGTGCGCGGTGCCGGGATCCAAGGGAGCCCCGCGAGGTCGGGAAGAAGAAGAGGTGAGCGTTGGCCGTTGGCCCTTGCGCCCCCTCCCCCGGTGGCTTCTGCTGGCGCCGAGGCTGTCTTCTGTTCTCGCCTCTGGCTCAGGGCTTTTCCTCCCTCATCTTGGCGCGGCCACCTGCCATCAGGGACGTCTGCCCGGCGTGTCGCGCCGCCGGTTCTGGCCCACGGCGCTTCGGCGCGGCGCGCCGACCGCGTCCCTCGGGCCGCAGGCGTCGACGTCCAGGGGCTCTCGCGACCCGCTGCCCAGCGAGGCGAAGCGGCACGCTGAGCAAGAGTCTCTCACCCTCCTCCTCCTCCTCCTCGTCCTCCTCCTCCTCCTCCTCTTCCTCCTCCTCTTTCGAGGAGCAAGAGAAGTCAAGCAGTGGCCATGTGTCCTGGCTCGCCTGTAGGCCCTTTAGGCCCACCAGAGAACGTTCCAAGGACCTTCGGTGGCCTGCGCGACGTGTTCCTAGAACATTTCTGGCTGGGACCGTCTTGTTCTAACACCTCGGGCTTATGTTCTAAGAACACTGCTTCGGTTCTCAGAAGATTGTTTGGTTCTGCGAACATGGCGTGGTAGGCCTAGGTAGGAGTGCCGGGACGGTCTGCCCCTTGCTCAGAAGCGATGACATACGGCAGGAGGACACAATCAGTGGACAGCCCCCGCTCCCCCAAGTTGAGAGCTGGCACGCGCGGGGGAAGACGGCGGTCGAAGCGCAGCTCGTTCTCACCCGCCGCCAGCATGGACCACTGCGGGGGGGCATTGTCAGAGGCCAGCAACATGTGTACGCGTACGCGGTTAGCTTCCCGTGGAGGGCGTTTGAGCGAGGACGTTCGGGCGCTCAAGACCGCGGAGGGCGTACATGTACATGTGTCGTTGCTCGCTCACATTGGCAGACGAATGCGGCAGGATTGTTCGCTGATTTCTCCCGAGGCCCGAACCAAACACTTCCGACGGTCCGCGCGGCTTTCTTGGATGTCGGCGGCGGACCTCTCTCTACCTGGCGCGCGGGTTGCGCGCCGGGGCTGGCGCCAGAGCCGCCGCCAGGGCGGGCCCCGGCGCCGATCCAAGACGTCCGCGCACCGCTGAAAGTTCAGATTCTGTCAAGAGTTGTTCCTCGGCTCCAGACCGAGGTATATGATCTCGTGGTCGGTCCAGGGAGGGCACCCCAATGTTCTTCGTGTTCGTTGGGTGCTCTTGTGCCTCATGGGGGAGGTACCCTCGAATGCTTTTCCTCTTGGCCGGCGGAGGGTCTGATGTTCTTGAAGGACGTTCTTCTGGCCTAGGTCCGACTGTAGGTGGGGCTGGAGGACCGTGCCGCTTCGCCGATGCATCTGCGATGTGGCTTGATGTGGAGCCCGATTTTCTCCACGCCGACGGCGCTGACGCGTCGCCGACGTCGCCGAGGCATCGCGGACGCGTCGCCGCTGCGGCGCGATCCTCCGACCCACACCTACTCGGACCCCGTCTGGGAAGCTTAGAAGGTGTGTGCAACGCCTGCCCACCCTCGCACCCCACAATGCGTGCAGGATCGCCCCTGTGTAGGAGGCTAGGCTCACGTTCGCGCTGCGTGCGCGGCCGACTGGCCGCTGCAGGAACAGACGCAGCGCAGTTGCCCCCCGCGCGGTGGAACATGCGCGGCCCGCTTCGTCATGGCGAGGCTTGGAAGTATACGAGAGATGGTGACGCCGGCGACCATAAGAATGACGATGCTGTCTACGATGACGATGCAACTGGTAACTACTCGGCTTGCCGATCGTGTTAGAGTCCCCCTTGCACTTGAGTTTGGCCAGTCTCGCGTGCATACGATGACAGGGATGATGCCCGTGAAGTGTTTGTGATGATGTCATAGCTTCAACATCAGTGCTACTGGTGGGTGGGGATGTCGGTAGTGCGGCTGAGGAATAGCATAATCCGATAACGTAATTGTAATGTTAGTGGTAATCACGGTGGCAGGGAAAGCTTCAGTGGTCGTTGGATGAGCAGCACTAGTCATCTGTTGCAGTTGCATTCGTTGTGTCACTTGTCGTTCAAGTGGTCGTCGAAGTAGCCGCAGTCGCAGCTGGGTTGTTCCTCTCACTGCGGGTACAGTCTACCTCGGTGAGAAGTAGAAGCAGCAGTAGCAGCGTTTGGCCGGAGTGCAGAAGCCATAGCCGTAGCAGTCGCATTCGTATTCGACCCGCTGGCGCATTCCGTCCGCCCATGCTGCATCATGCTAGCACTGTTTCCGTGTGCTGACGGGCGTTGGAAGTTCTTGGGTGACGGTAGCTTCCTCCAGCGGCCGTGGGAAGTTCACGCAGGCGAGGTGCAGCCGATGAGCTCTTCGAGTGCAGCACGCAGCGGAACGCGCTCCCACCCACTCTTCCCCGTCGAAGCCCGAACACATTCTGTTGTCGCGGACTCGGCGAACGCTCAAGTCGTTAAAGCTCGGTCGGGCTGCGAACAAAAAAACAATTTTGCAACGTCGGCAAATGCAGAGAGGGAGGGCCAGCTGCGGCCGGGAGGAGGGGGAGCGAGAGGCGTTCCTTGCGCGTGGCCTTTGACGCCAGTGATGCGCCGCTCGAAGCGCGATTGTGCAATTTGCAGAGAAGTCTTGGGCTCTTTCGAATCCCGGCCTACGACCAGGCAGCTTTCAAGAATCCCTTCGTCACTTCGTTCATGTTGTTCCGTGCGTGGGCCCAAGAGGTCTGGACCACTTCCCCAGGGCCGGCTTTTCGTCCTGAGGGTCGTTTGTTGATGGCCCGGAGGTCCGGCGAGGGCCCCTCGGAGGCCGAAACCGACCAAACACCGCACGTGCCAATGTTTACTGGAGTGTCGGATCTTTGGGTTAGTCTTATGATGTTCCAACCTACTTGATCACCAGAAAGAATTTCGAGCACCAGGAAAGTACCGAAACTCGAGGGTTTTCAAGCGTCGGGCCCTGGGAGACACTCGTCCGACACTGTTTCGGCACTCTCGACACTTTCCCGGGTGCTCGACATCATTTCTGGGATGTGGTCCTTAAGTACGATTTGGGGCTACATGCGCTTAGTCTTGTCTCCATATCTCTGCTAGGGACTTACAGGCGCACCCTACCCCTACCCCGCACGAGTTCTGAGGGGGAGGGTGGGGTTCACTTCGTTCGGGAGCTCCCGAGCGAAGTGCACCCCACCCTCCCCTCAGAAATCGTGGGGGGTAGGGGTAGGGTTCGCCTGTAAGCCCCCTATCTGCACCTCCGGCGGCGTCTGCGCGAGGCTCCCCCGGCGCCGGCTGGCTCAGGCCCCGGGCGCCACCGCGGGCTACCCGCGGGGCCCCTCGCGCGGGCCAGCGCGCCCCGCCCGCCCGCCGCCCTCCGCCCCACGCTGCCGGGCGCCATGCTGTCGGAGGGGCCCGGGGGGGGGGGGTCCAGAGATCCAACGCTCCTTCTCCTCTTCCTCCTCCTTCTCCTCATCCTCCTCCTCCTCCTCCTCCTCTTCCTCCTCCTCCTCCTCCTTCTCTTCTCCTCCTCCTCTTCTCCTCCTCCTCCTCGTCCTCCAACGATCGAACCTATCGGCCCAGAGATCCGACGCTCCAAAGAGATTGGAGCGGACGGTTTTTGCTATTTTCGGCATCGGGGATCCCTCTCTGGACCTCGGGAGCGTGAAAGAACGACACAGGGCGACAAAGTCGGCCCCAGGGAAGTGGTCCAGACCGCCAGGGGTCACGCATCAACAACATTTGAGCAACCGGGTGTCTGGGGGCTCGCCTTCCCTTCAAGAAGAATTCGCATAACATGGAATTTCGGAGTTCCGCCTGGATTTCTTGGATCTGCGTTGGGCCCCCCTGGCAACGTTCTCGGGGCCGCCCCTGGCGCGCTTCGCGCGCCAGGGATGGCGGCACAGCGCCGATCCAAGAACTCCGCACAGACCTCCGAAGGTTTATGCTCATGCAGTTTTTCCCGGAAAGGGCGCGGGCCCAGGGTTCTCTTTTTCCTGGAAAGGGCGCGGGCCCAGGGTTCTCTTTTAGTAGGTTAACCCCCCAGCCCCCCTGCGACTTGGGCCGGCGAAATTATTTTTGAGGATGTCTCTAGCGAAACGCTTGTTTTTCATAATTTGTGGAGGATGTCTCGAGCGAAACGCTGGTTTTGCAGAGTTGGGGATGTCTCAAGCGAAACGCTTGTTTTCAGAATTTGTTCAGGATGTCTCGAGCGAAACACTGGTTTTGCAGAGCCGACCGCGACGCGGAAAAGCGCCCCGCGCGCAGGAATTCCGATGATGTTTTGCGCGTGCCGCGTCCCGTGCGCAGGAATTTCGAGTATGTCTCGACTAATTTTGGCCTCCAGGCGCCTCTGGGCGTTCCTGGGCCCTCCTGCGCTCCAGACGACCGCATGTTAGATATCCCCCCCTGGGTGGGCTGGACCACGTTTTTTTACGTGTGCAGGCCACCCAGGTTGTATGTAACATGGTGGTCACGAGCTGGAACCATATGTTTTTACGCGTCCAGGCCACCCACGGGGATATCTAACATGGTTGTCCCGAGCTTGAACCATCTGTTCCCGGAAAGGGCAAAGGCCCAGGGTTCTCTTTTAGTATGTAAACATAGTCCCCCGTGCCCAACTTGAAGGAGGCTGGCGAAATTTTTCCCTGATAAATATCGAGGTCGAAGGAGGCCGGCGAAATTATTTTTGAGGATGTCTCCAGCGAAACGCTTGTTTTTCAGAATTTGTTGAGGATGTCTCGAGCGAGACGCTGGTTTTGCAGAGTTGGGGATGTCTCGAGCGAAACGCTTGGTTTCAGAATTTGTTGAGGATGTCTCGAGCGACACGCTGGTTTTGCAGAGCCGACCGCGACGCGGAAAAGCGCCCCGCGCGCAGGAATTTCGATGATGTCTCGACTAATTCGTTTGTTTTTGTACGATTTCCTGGAATTTTGGCAGGATGTCTCGAGCGAAATGCACGACCCCACCCTAGCACGACCATACCCCAGCACGACCACACCCCAGCACGACCAGACCCCAGCACGACCCCACCCCAGCACGACCCCACCCCAGCACGACCATACCC